AACGAAACATTAACCACTTTTATATAATAATATATTTAAAAAAAATATTTCCCTCAAGCTGTCACATAAAAACAGCCAGATATGGGAGGGAAACCCAGTATTGGTAGCCCTGTCACAGCCGGTGAACATGAAGAAGATTTCATCTGAAGCCGACTATTTCGGCTAACCCCGCCCCAGGAGACGACAGTCTGGCATGACCTGCAGCAGATGTAAACAGTTATTTCAGCACAGGTGTAGTAAATCAGCCTGGATGATGTCTCGTGTAGGATCACCGTGAGCTAAACGTCTGGCCATGACAAATCGTGGGATGAAACAGGGATTCTCACACTTGCCCACACGGCTCCCTAGTTAACTGTTGCAACTTGTCACAAATTCTCAAAATGGCGTCAATCGTTGGAGCTTGTCACAAACACTCAAGATGGCGTCAATCGTTAGAGCTTGTCACAAACACTTAAGACGACGTAAATCGTTGGAGCATGTCACAAACACTTCAGACGACAATCTCGAGATTTTAAGAATTAAAGAAATCTGGTAGAATACTAAGGATGAAGCGAAAGGAACAAAACACTTCTCGTATTTCGTCGATAAAAACTGGCTCACAACAAGCTTCCTGTGCTGAAAAAAACCAAATGTTTAGTTGGGCCATATTAATCTGTCAGAGTGTTTATCTGTCCGTGACTTAATCCCCATAAATAATCAAATAATTATTGAGCAGGGTGTCTTTAATGTCACGTCTACACAAATGTCGGTTGATCGCTGCTTCTTCTTTCCAGAAAATTGCCTTCCTTTTGCTGTTTTCCCCTCCTTCTAATTCAGTGTGGCGTTTAAGCGAACCAGTTGTACTGGAAGAACAGATGACAACGACTAACGCAGGTCTTTCAAAACTATGTGCCACGACAAATTAGTGTGCCGGCTGCAGTGTGAAGGTGTGTTGCCATTTACGAAGGTGCTTCGAGCGAACGTGGGTCTGCATATCTTGTAAAGGGTTAGCTTTACCTCTAGTTTGATGGTAGACTGAATTAGTGTGTCGAGAAATTACGTTTCTCTAAGTACGTCACCAACATGAACAGTTTTGGAAGCTCTGCTCTAACCCACAGAAACAAATGGAGCAGTAACCTAGTTGCCTCGACCGTACCTAGTGCTCGCTGGTCGGTAATTAAGATAAGGACACCCGACACTGGTTGCCAGCATGGCTCCAGCAGGCTGATTGCCTTGGTCAATTATGCCAGCAATGATAAGCTGGACAAAGTTTGACTGCTCCAGACGAGACATTGCCTAGGGATCAGGTTATCAGTCCGTCATCACAGAAGTGACATTTATCAGTCCGTCGTCACAGAAGTGACGTGTGCATGTTTGACACGCGCTTTCTTGTCGTTTCAGATGGGCCATTCTAAGAATTGGCACACACACCCATATAAGCATACACACACACACACACAGAGAGAGAGAGAGAGAGAGAGAGAGAGAGAGAGAGAGAGAGAGAGAGAGAGAGATTTTTTATTGTGCTCTCTAAGAACCAACTGTGCATTCTCGTTGATTCTCACAGCCCGGACCACAGTGCTATCCAACTGAAACGCCGCGTTTCAGTTACATGTTCAGATGTTTCTTAGCCGGACAAAACACAACATCAAAGATGTCTCATGACCGGACAAAACACGACAACGTCAAAGATGTCTCATGACCAAGGCACGACAACATCAAAGATGTCTCATGACCAGACCAGCCACGACAACATCAAAGATGTCTCATGACCGGACAAGCCACGACAACATCAAAGATGTCTCACGACCGGACAAGCCACGACAACATCAAAGATGTCTCATGACCGGACAAGCCACGACAACGACAAAGATGTCTCATGACCAGACAAGGCATGACAACATCAAAGATGTCTCATGACCGGACAAGGCACGACAACGTCAAAGATGTCTCATGACCAAGGCACGACAACATCAAAGATGTCTCATGACCAAGGTACGACAACATCAGTGATGCCTCACGACCGGACAAGGCACGACAACGTCAAAGATGTCTCATGACCAAGGCACGACAACATCAGTGATGCCTCACGATCGGACAAGGCACGACAACGTCAAAGATGTCTCATGACCAAGGCACGACAACATCAAAGATGTCTCATGACCAGACAAGGCACGACAACATCAAAGATGCCTCACGACCGGACAAGGCACGACAACGTCAAAGATGTCTCATGACCAAGGCACAACAACATCAAAGATGTCTCATGACCAAGGCACGACAACATCAGTGATGCCTCACGACCGGACAAGGCACGGCAACGTCAAAGATGTCTCATGACCAAGGCACGACAACATCAAAGATGTCTCATGATCAGACAAGGCACGACAACATCAAAGATGCCTCACGACCGGACAAGGCACGACAACGTCAAAGATGTCTCATGACCAAGGCACGACAACGTCAAAGATGTCTCATGACCAAGGCACGACAACATCAGTGATGCCTCACGACCGGACAAGGCACGACAACGTCAAAGATGTCTCATGACCAAGGCACGACAACATCAGTGATGCCTCACGACCAGACAAGGCACGACAACGTCAAATTTGTCTCAGTACTACGCGACTGACATCCACAAATCACCATCATCTGGTAGACATCTGTCAGTTGCTAAGTAAAGCAATTCATTCAACAACACAAGACAACACATCACTCAACAATGCGGAGTATTTGCTCGACTTAATCACACTTCTCTGGATTTCGCAATCCGTCATGACTTCCAGTCTCTCTCTCTCTCTCTCTCTCTCTCTCTCTCTCTCTCTCTCTCTCTCTCTCTCTCTCTCTCTCTCTCTCTCTCACACACACACACACACACACACATCTCATCTCCCCCTTCCAGCTGCTAGTTGTAGCTTCACCAGAGGAAACAAGTTTACTCAACAAAACTAAATAGACGCCTGCACATTTCTCAAACATAGTCCAACTGGCGTCCTGTACTTCAGCCAATGTATTTAACTTTTCTGCACTTAAATAGGTGGGTTGGTTTGTGAAGACTAATTTTGAATGCACACCGATATCTGCACAAGTGCCTCAATCTTTTACAACAGACCCTACCAGGACTGAGTGGTTCAGCACAGGCCACTAAGTGTGTAGAACGAATCTTGAAAAGAATGCCATTTGTTGTGGCGACACCCTATCACATCGCTCCGACACAATGAAGTGACGTTCCCAGTTTGAATGCTCAATAAATTCGTTCCCTTATTATTTCGACAACTACTGTAGTTTTCAATGGATGTAGCAATGATCCACAGTGAGAAACTAAGGCTTGGAGTTCAACTGTAAGAAAACGAAAATTATAGTTTCACCAAGAACAACGGAATACCAAAGTGTGAAATAGACACAAATGGAAAAATTCTGCAGCTAGATAACAGAAACAACTATTAAGGAAAAGCCATAACATCAGATGCAAGATGCCTTGCAGAAATTGCAACAAGAATCGCCACAGCAACAGTTTCCTTCAGCAAGATACAAACGATTGTCACCAATAAGAATATGGCACCCGCAGTGAGTAAAAGAGTGTTAGTGTTATGTAGAACCTGTGTTGTTATATAAATGTCAAGCATGGACAATAAGGAAACAAACCGAAAAGCATTTACTGGCGCCAGAAATGTGGTTTCTGGGAAGAACAGAAACTATATTAGGAAAGAATAGAAAAACAAACGAAGCAGACGAGACAGATGTAAGTTGTACACTTGTGAGAACAATCAGACGTAAACGGTCGGTGTTTGTGGGTTGACATTGTCATGAGAAAGAGTCAACTCGAGAACCTGGTAACAACTGTCAAGATTGATGGAAAGAGAGAAAGAGGAAGGCAAAGACACAAATACTTGGATGGTCTAGCCACATTGATGGGGATAGAAAGAAACAATGAACTGATCCGTGATTCTGGTGATCGTGTGAGACGACGATACATGTGAGTCTACGCTTACCAACATGGTACACAATGATGATAATATGAGTGTATCTGTGTGAAAAAGAGACAAGTTGAGGGAAAGAGTGAGACAGTCATTGAAAGAGTGATGGAAGGAGAGAAAGCAGAGACGAAGATTGGGAGGGGGGAGGGGGCGGAAGAGACAGCAGACCTGGTGTGTTTGCGTAAATAAATACCATGATAGGAACTTGTTATTTATAACTGTGTGGCCAACACGGAGGGAGCCATCCTGGTGTAGCGGCTAGATGTCTCCCTAAGGATTCAAAGGTGGTGGGTTAAAATCTAAATTTTTGCTTACCTGATTTTTTTTTTTCTAAACATGACGCTGGCTAAGAAAGAGGCAATCTACGTTCTTTGGTCATGTGATGCGAAGTACATCGTGACATAATGAAAGCTGGAAGGCAGCAGAGGCAGAGGGAGACATAGAGAGAACAGATGCTGGACAGTTTAACATCATGGCATGGAAGATAATCTGTGTCAGAATTGATTCAAAGTACATGAGACAGAAGGCTGTGGATAGACACGACTACCAACACCCCACGACATGAACTTTAAGAAGAAGAAAGAAATCATTGCGAAGTGCCTGTTCAAATTTTAGTATCACCAATGACTAAGATGAAATGCATTAGAAGAGCTGCAGGAGTTTCAAGGAAAGACAGAATACGAAATCATGAAATCAGACGAATGCTAGGAATAAAGCCAGTCTTATAGGTCATCAAAGAACAACAAATGAAGTGGTTTGGACACCTAACAAGAATGCCCTGGAACTATCCGCCACAGCGAGCCACACTAAAACGTTACAACGGGTATAGAGCGAGTGGAAGACCTCGGAAAACATAGAGTGATGGCATTAAGAACAGCCTTGCAGAAATTAACATCAGTCCTAATAGTGCTCTCGACAGAGCTCATCAACGAACATTACATCTCCCCCCGACACATCGAGGTAAAAGGTGGAAGAGAAGAAGAAGAATGACTGAAATCCCTGAGGCAACAATGAAGAACTGTAGCAATTATCAAAACAAATGACACAAAACTGGTCTTGATAGCTCTGCCTGGTGAAGTTAATGTCTTTTGTGACATCAATTTTGTTTACAAATAGTGAAAGTTTCTCGGAAAAAAGCCAAGTGAGCTCTCCCGGCTGTCAACTCCCGCTCCCACTGCAACAAACATTCCCTTACCTCAGCTGTCAACTCCTGCTCCCACTGCAACAAACATTCCTTTACCTCAGCTGTCAACTCCTGCTCCCACTACAACAAACATTCCCTTACCCCAGCTGTCAACTCCTGCTCCCACTGCAACAAACATTCCTTTACCTCGGCCGTCAACTCCTGCTCCCACTGCAACAAACATTCCTTTACCTCAGCTGTCAACTCATGCTCCCACTACAACAAACATTCCCTTACCTCAGCTGTCAACTCCTGCTCCCACTGCAACAAACATTCCTTTACCTCGGCTGTCAACTCCTGCCCCACACACAGACAGGGGCACCACACAGACAGACAGGGGTGCCACACACACAGATAAGGGCGCCACACACACAGATAAGGGCGCCACACACAGACAGGGGCGACACACACAGACAGGGGCGCCACACACACAGGCTGGGGTGCGAGGTCTCTGATAAGTTTTTTATGGACGGAAAGGTTTGGCCCCAATCTTGTTTAATAATAATAATAATAATGTGGCGATTTACAAATACACATAATATATTCAAAGTAGCGAACAATCCAGTAGATAACTTCCATACATGGTTAGAGTAACTAAGAACCGTTTAGATAAGCCAGTAAGTTTTTGTGTCCACTGGGGCCCGGACAAGACTGATAATATCAGGGCTAGTCTGACCTGAATCGATGGGCACCAGCTGGCCTTTCTCCTATCCATATGACCCACTTGTCCCTGGCAATTACAGTCAGCTGATAATGGGAGTATTTGAGTAAAACACGCGATAAACGGCTTGCTGCTACTGCCACAGTCACTTCCCATAAGTTATCATCAAAGAATTCATCGAACCAAAATCATCGGCATGAGGACAACTCACACTGAATACCTAGAATCTCGCACAGACACAAACAAAGTAGAAGTACTAGCTAGCACAGCAGCGGCGCCAGTGGCCAACATCATTTGCCGTGGGCAAGGCTCCACAAGCGCGCGCCGTTGGCGAGACATTCATTCAATGGAGGGTGACAGGGAACATTAGGAGATAGTGATGAACAATATGAAGACGAACAAAAAGGAGGAGCAGGAAGTGCAGCAGCAGCGAAAGAAAAACGAAAAGAAAAAGCAGAAGAAGAAGAAGAAAAAGAAGAAGAAGAAGAAGAAGAAGAAGAAGAAGAAGAAGAAGAAGAAGAAGAAGAAGAAGAAGAAGAAGAAGAAGAAGAAGCAGAAGAAGCAGCAGAAGAAGATGAAGAAGAAGAAGAAGAAGAATAAGAAGAAAAAGAAGAATAAGAAGAAAAAGGAGGAGACTCAGAAGCAGAATAAGAAAAAGAAGGAGTAAGAGAAAAAGAAGAAGAAGAAGAAGAAGAAGAAGAAGAAGAAGAAGGAGAAGAAAATAAAACACCCATTCTTACAGGGAAGTAAAAATGAAGGGGAAAAACACATCATGAAAAAGCAATCGATTGCCTTATAACTCACTCCCAAATGAACTATTCCCCGACAAACACACAGTAACATGTGTAGATGGAAAACGAGTCTGCCTGATGACGCAGACAGCCAATGACTCCCACAGACAACCTCCATCTTGCTTGACTCGTCAGCACCAAGAGAGGAAACTAGAAACAGAGGATACAAACTCAAACCAGTCCCCCCCCCCCCCCCCCACTTCCTTCACCCACAACAACGCCGGTGCAATATTCTATCGCAATTATCAACCTCTACAAACGTGCAAAGCCGCCCCCGACAATTTAAACCTGTGCAGGTAAGAAGTTCTCAATCACGAGATGGTAAACCTGGTGAAGCAGCAGAAACAGCGAACCCCAGGTGACCAGGTAAGGGTTCTGTTCAAGTCAGACCGTGCAGGAATGAAGAAACGCTTCAGAGATCATGTTCAGAGTCAATTTGACTAATTCATGTTTAACAAATTATTTTATTAACCTCCAAATCCATCGTATTCTCACACTGCAGAAATATGTTTAGAATTGTATGGATCAGGACGTTCAAATAAAGACTGACATGTTTCCAAATAAATGTGGAAGAGAAATGGCGCATACACAGCTGAAGAGCCCAGGATAAGCCCTGCCAAGCAGGCAGAGACCCAGATGACCAGTAACCAGTCAGCAAGGTTAATGAATCCTCATTAACTGAGTGATCCGGTCGCCGAAGTTTACGGCTAACAAAGATTTGTTGCTTTGGCCTCGATTACCGAATATAGATTTGGCTAACAAATTTTACAATGGATTCGTCCGCTAAAACAATGCGGCCGCGTAGTTGGCTAAACTCTGGCTTCAACCACGTTTGGGCTAACGAAGATTTATGATACAGACTGTGAGTCTGCAAAGAAATATCTTTGTTAGTCAAGGCATCACTATTCTTATAAATGAGGAACGGTCCACGTAAAATACTCTAGTGTGTCTTAAAGTGAGTGAATACCTACCCCCCCCCCCCTTTTTCCACTTATTTCCCCCCCCCCCCACCTACCGCCCCTTCTACTATGTTTTTTTTCCCCAATACCGCCCCTTCCACTATGGTTTTTTCCCCCAATACCGCCAATCTCCCTACCGCTCTCTCCACTATCGACCTTCTCCTTCTCCCTCCCCCTACCAATCCCCCTATCTACCGCCCATTCCACTGTGGGTTTGTTTCCAATAACGCCTATCTCTCTACCGCTCTCTCCACTTTCGACCTTCTCCTCCACCGCTCTGTCCACTATCGCCCATCTCTCTACCGCTCTCTCCACTATCGACCTTCTCCTCTACCGCTCTCTCCACTATCGACCTTCTCCTCTACCGCTCTCTCCACTATCGACCTTCTCCACTACCGCTCTCTCCACTATCGCCCCTCTCTTTACCGCTCTCTCCACTATCGCCCCTCTCTCTACTGCTATCTCCACTATCGACCTTCTCCTCTACCGCTCAATCCACTATGCCCCTCCTCTACCGCTCTCTCCACTATCGGCCGTCTCCTCTACCACTCTCTCCACTATCGCCCTTCTCTTCTACCGCTCTCTCCACTATGGACCGTCTCCTCCACCGTTCTCTCCACTATTGCTCATCTCCTCTACCGCTCTCTCCACTATCGACCTTCTCCTCTACGCTCTCTCCACTATTGCCCATCTCCTCTACCGCTCTCTCCACTTTCGCCCATTTCCTCTACCACTCTCTCCACCATCGACCTTCTCCTCTACCGCCGCTCTCCACTACAGATCTTCTCCTCTACCACTCTCTCCACTTTCGCCCATTTCCTCTACCGCTCTCTCCACTATCGCCCTTCTCCTCTACCGCTCTCTCCACTATCGCCCTTCTCCTCTACCGCTCTCTCCACTATCGCCCTTCTCCTCTTACACTCTCTCCACTATAGATCTTCTCCTCTACCGCCGTCTCCACTATCGACCTTCTCCTCTACCTCTCTCTCTCTCTACTATCGACATTTTCCTCTACCGCTCTCTCCACTATCGCCCTTCTTCTCTACCGCTTTCTTCACTATCGACCTTCTCCTCTACCGCTCTCTCCACTATCGACCTTCTCCTCTACCGCTTTCTAAACTATCGACCTTCTCCTCTACCGCTTTCTCCACTATCGACATTCTCCTCTACCGCTCTCTCCACTATCGACCTTCTCCTCTACCGCTCTCTCCACTATCGACCTTCTCCTCTACCACTCTCTCCACTATCGACCTTCTCCTCTACCACTCTCTCCACTATCGACCTTCTCCTCTACCGCTCTCTCCAATATCAACTCTTCCCCTCTACCGCCGCTCTCCCACTGCAACTCTTCTCAAGAACCGCTACGTGCTAATCCGTCAAATGAAGATTGTTCAAGCCTTATGCAAATTCTGGTAATCTCCCGCTGAACGATGTCATCTGACATTTGAGCCTTCCTTAAAGTTCCCTCTGACTCCCCCCCCCCCCTTTTCCCAACGATTGTTATCCCCACTCCATCGCGACCTCGCTGATGAAAGTTCTTCCTGGATTTATAATCCATGTTTGTCTTTTCCCAGCCACCCCTGTTGCTTTATTTCTCCACGTTCTGTCCTTGCATCTTTTACATTTTTTATTCGTTTAGGGGCATTTATCATTTCTGCATCCATGTTTGATGGAAGACATCAATATATTTGTAGAAATATAAAACTAGGAAATACATACAAGGGGACATGTAGGAAATAGTAATGAAACACAGAAGATACAAAACGGAAAGAAACAAATTATTGCAATCTGGAGAAAAGGTACGAAAGGGCGGGAAGTGTAGCAGAAGTAGAAGGAGGAGGTGGAGGAGGATGAGGAGAAATCCTAAAAAACCATAAAACACCAATCCAATAAAATACATGTGTGATCTGGATGTCTCGGACAAAGGACAAGGACGCAACTTGCAGATAACACAAATTTGGAAGAGATAGATGACAGCAAAAGGCGAACCGCGCGACATTACCTTTAGCTAACATAGACCCCTCCCCCCTTTACACCATCTCTCGCTCTCTTTCACTTTTTTTTTTTCTCCTCCTCACGCGGCGCAATATGACAACGTTCGGGTTGCGAAGGTAAACCGGGTTGGCATGTGATCGGATTGCCTAGGTTGTCATGTGATCGGATTGCCCGGGTTGTTGTCTAGCAGAAATTCAGCAAGCTAACCGCTGTGCGATCAAATCCCTCGCCAACCCGCGCTGTGGGGCCCTTGCAATGGAATTGCCATCTTTTCCTGACAGGGTTGGGTCTGTCCAGATGATCATGTTTGAGTGTGCCATAGGGAGATATAAGAATCAGAACCTATGATGAAGGCCAGTGTGTGACACACGCGTTGAGGTTTTTTTGCAAATCAATTCACATGTACAGACAGATAAACCGGTGAGCAGGCAGACAGAATGAAACATACAGACAGATAAACCGGTGAGCAGGCAGACAGAATGAAACATACAGACAGATAAACCAGTGAGCAGGCAGACAGAATGAAACATACAGACAGATAAACCGGTGAGCAGGCACACAGAATGAAACATACAGACAGATAAACCAGTGAGCAGGCAGACATACAGATAAACCGGTGAGCAGGCAGACAGAATGAAACATACAGACAGATAAACCAGTGAGCAGGCAGACAGAATGAAACATACAGACAGATAAACCAGTGAGCAGGCAGACAGAATGAAACATACAGACAGATAAACCAGTGAGCAGGCAGACAGAATGAAACATACAGACAGATAAACCGGTGAGCAGGCAGACAGAATGAAACATACAGACAGATAAACCGGTGAGCAGGCAGACAGAATGAAACATACAGACAGATAAACCAGTGAGCAGGCAGACAGAATGAAACATACAGACAGATAAACCGGTGAGCAGGCAGACAGAATGAAACATACAGACAGATAAACCAGTGAGCAGTCAGACAGAATGAAACATACAGACAGATAAACCGGTGAGCAGGCAGACAGAATGAAACATACAGACAGATAAACCAGTGAGCAGGCAGACAGACAGATAAACCGGTGAGCAGGCAGACCGAATAAAACATACAGACAGATAAACCAGTGAGCAGGCAGACAGAATGAAATATACAGATAGATAAACCAGTGAGCAGGCAGACAGAATGAAACATACAGACAGATAAACCAGTGAGCAGGCAGACAGAATGAAATATACAGACAGATAAACCAGTGAGCAGGCAGACAGACAGACAGATAAACCGGTGAGCAGGCAGACAGACAGATAAACCAGTGAGAAGGCAGACAGAATGAAATATAAATACAGATTAACCAGTGAGCAGGCAGACAGACAGATAAACCGGTGAGCAGGTAGACAGACAGATAAACCGGTGAGCAGGCAGACAGACAGATAAACCAGTGAGCAGGCAGACAGACAGATAAACCGGTGAGCAGGCAAACAGAATGAAACATACAGACAGATAAACCAGTGAGCAGGCAGACAGAATGAAACATACAGACAGATAAACCAGTGAGCAGGCAGACAGACAGATACACCAGTGAGCAGGCAGACAGACAGATAAACCAGTGAGCAGGCAGACAGACAGATTAACCAGTGAGCAGGCAGACAGACAGATACAACAGTAAGCAGACAGAAAAACCAGTGAGCAGGCAGACAGACAGATAACCAGTGAGCAGGCAGACAGACAGATAAACCAGTGAGCAGGCAGACAGACAGATAAACCAGTGAGCAGACAGACAGATAAACCAGTGAGCAGACAGACAGACAGATAAACCAGTGAGCAGGCAGACAGATAAACCAGTGAGCAGGCAGACAGACATATAAACCAGTGAGCAGGCAGACAGACAGATAAAACACTGAGCAGGCAGACAGACAGATAAACCAGTGAGCAGGCAGACAGACAGATAGATAAACCAGTGAGCAGGCAGACAGACAGATAAACCAGTGAGCAGACAGATAGATAAACCAGTGAGCAGGCAGACAGATAAACCAGTGAGCAGGCAGACAGATAAACCAGTGAGCAGGCAGACAGACAGATAAACCAGTGAGCAGAAAGACATATAGATAAACCAGTGAGCAGGCAGACAGACAGATAATCCAGTGAGCAGGCAGACAGACAGATAAACCAGTGAGCAGACAGACAGACAGATAAACCAGTGAGCAGACAGATAGATAAACCAGTGAGCAGGCAGACAGACAGATAAACCAGTGAGCAGGCAGACAGACAGATAAACCAGTGAGCAGGCAGACAGATAGATAAACCAGTGAGCAGGCAGACAGACAGATAAACATGTGAGCAGGCAGACAGATAGATAAACCAGTGAGCAGGCAGACAGACAGATAAACCAGTGAGCAGGCAGACAGACAGATAAACCAGTGAGCAGACAGACAGACATATAAACCAGTGAGCAGGCAGACAGATAGATAAACCAGTGAGCAGGCAGACAGACAGATAAACCAGTGAGCAGACAGATAGATACACCAGTGAGCAGACAGACAGACAAACCAGTGAGCAGGCAGACAGATAAACCAGAGAGCAGGCAGACAGATAAACCAGTGAGCAGGCAGACAGACAGATAAACCAGTGAGCAGGCAGACAGACAGATAAACCAGTGAGCAGGCAGACAGATAGATAAACCAATGAGCAGGCAGACAGACATAAACCAGTGAGCAGGCAGACAGACAGATAAACCAGTGAGCAGACAGATAGATACACCAGTGAGCAGACAGACAGACAAACCAGTGAGCAGGCAGACAGATAAACCAGAGAGCAGGCAGACAGATAGATAAACCAGTGAGGAGGCAGACAGATAGTTAAACCAGTGAGCAGGCAGACAGACATATAAACCAGTGAGCAGGCAGACAGACAGATAAACCAGTGAGCAGGCAGACAGATAGATAAACCAGTGAGCAGGCAGACAGATAGATAAACCAGTGAGCAGACAGATAGATAAACCAGTGAGGAGGCAGACAGACAGATAAACCAGTGCGCAGGCAGACAGATAGATAAACCAGTGAGCAGGCAGACAGATAGATAAACCAGTGAGGAGGAGACAGACAGATAAACCAGTGAGCAGGCAGACAGATAAACCAGTGAGCAGGCAGACAGATAGATAAACCAGTGAGGAGGCAGACAGACAGATAAACCAGTGAGCAGGCAGACAGATAAACCAGTGAGCAGGCAGACAGATAGATAAACCAGTGAGCAGGCAGACAGACAGATAAACCAGTGAGCAGGCAGACAGACATATAAACCAGTGAGCAGGCAGACAGACAGATAAACCAGTGAGCAGGCAGACAGACAGATAAACCAGTGAGCAGGCAGATAGAATGAATCATACAAGGAACAGACATCCAGGTAGAATGTAACAAACAAACAAGCACAGACAGACAAAAATAAACGACTTACAATTTGTAATAAATAAAGGTAACCTAACAGATACAATCAAATAAAAGAAAAAAACAGGAAGGAGAGTGGAGCAGCCAATGTCAGTTATTCTGTGACGCGCCTAGTCGGTTTGCCCCAATCAATAGACAGCAGTCAAGAAGTCGCACACGAAGTGGTCTCACAAAATCGATTCAAACCCAGACTCTTGATTCGCACTTCTGAGACCTGAGGCCAATGGGAAGCAACCTGTCTGTCCTGTTGTCTTGTCTCTCCTTTGCTGTCTTCTACCTCCCTACATCCAAGTAGGTCACATGTCTGCATGCAGTGTTTAAGATAGGCGGCGAGACCGCACATCTAGACGATTACACGTAATATGGATGGTTGAGATGTTGCCTGATGACTCCACGAGTAGACGATATGAGATTGTGAGCACAGCATGTTAAAGAGTCAGGACCCCGATATAAATAAATCCCTTGCCACAACATCATCAAGTAAATAACGAAGCAAGTAAAGTACCTTTTCCCCCCAGGCCTGTGGGGGTCTTGAGCATGGATAGGTAGATCTGTAATTACTGGCACTCGCTGGGTGATGAGGTCAACATCCCGCCGGTTGCCTTTACTTCCTAGGTACCCATTTAAGGCTGGGTCGACCTGGGATCCAAGATCACTTTTTGAAGAAGAATACAAAAGTCGGGCTCTCTTCGGAATTGAACCCACCAACTCCAGTTCTGACTGCTACATCACGGCGGTTCCCCGACATTATGACAGATAATCAAATATAAATACAGGATCCTGGTTCCTAATGGAGCAGTCACGCAGAATGTTAGTGGCCTTTCCCTTCTCAGGACAGTACACAATCAACCCCAACATTGTTCTGGCTGGCTGGTTTTGCTAGGCGAATTTATATTTAGTAGTTTGCCATAACTGAACAGACGACGCTCCATACCACTGTCGCAGTCAACGCAAACCGAACTGTTTCCAAATGCCTGCCTCTGGAATGGCATAAGATGTTTCGGAATTTCGAAGCTGTTTCGCAACCCATAAACTGCAGGCACCGATTTGTACAATGCAAGACTCTTAATGTCTGACAGCCTTAGAGCTCAAGCCTACCTCGCCTTCATGTGGTGGTCCATGACCTACTTTAGAGTAGGTCACCTGGCCTTTATGTGGTGGTCCATGGCCTACTTTAGAGTAGGTCACCTGGCCTTTATGTGGTGGTCAATGGCCTACTTTAGAGTAGGTCACCTGGCCTTCATGTGGTGGTCAATGGCCTACTTTAGAGTAGGTCACCTGGCCTTTATGTGGTGGTCCATGGCCTACTTTAGAGTAGGTCACCTGGCCTTTATGTGGTGGTCAATGGCCTACTTTAGAGTAGGTCACCTGGCCTTTATGTGGTGGTCAATGGCCTACTTTAGAGTAGGTCACCTGGCCTTTATGTGGTGGTCCATGGCCTACTTTAGAGTAGGTCACCTGGCCTTCATGTGGTGGTCAATGGCCTACTTTAGAGTAGGTCACCTGGCCTTCATGTGGTGGTCCATGGCCTACTTTAGAGTAGGTCACCTCGCCTTTATGTGGTGGTCCATGGCCTACTTTAGAGTAGGTCACCTGGCCTTTATGTGGTGGTC